TATTTGTTCCATATAGACATTAACATGACAAACTCCTTTGTTAGAAAGAGCCTGAAAATCAAAGAAAACATTTTCATTATATTATTTTCTCCTTCAGAATGAACCTGAGAGGGAAAAACAAAAAATCAAAGAAGAAAGAAGTCAAATTATGGCAGTTTTTTCCTCTTACATTCAGTAGGTATTAGATCACAACTAAAGTGAATTAATGACAATGAGTGAAATAAATCGGCAAACTTTATTCAAGAGGGAAAATAATATTGCACCTAAAGACACACGACGTGTTACAGGTTCAGTTCTCTGCTCTACCGCAAATTTCTTGCTCAGTCTTGGCTTCCCTAGCTATTAATGTGACAGTGTTACACTCTCGTCCTATGCCTTACTTGTTTTGTTCCGCTGGGCTATAAACTTTCAGAGGCAGGAGGCTGCCCCTCAGTGCATGTTTGTACAGCACCCAGCGTAACAAGCCATTATCTCAGATGGATGCTTTGAGCCTTAACTGAAGACAAACCACTTCACAGCTTTACTTTCAAAGATGTCTGAAACGGAAAAAAAATCACAGTGAGTAAACGGATACAGAAATGCAAGATGCGTTAGAATTTTACCTTGAGAGCAAACTATACTTTTTAATTTGCATTGCCCTAATACTAGTTTGTAGGCGGAGCTTAAATTAAGTTCGACCTCCAAAGATTTGAGACTCTGGGGATCTATCGATGGAAGGCATTTCCTTGGCTTTCTGGAACACACTTCTACACATAGGATTAGTGAAAGTACTCAAGCTATAAGTTTCTCCTTTAGAAGACAGCATGACAGCAAAGAGGTATTATGAGAATCCATAACATTCAAATTTATTCCCAGTATTAAAGGTCTGAAATAAGCCATGTACATAGGCCTTCGGGATCTTACACAGCTTGCCTATTTTGCCAAGTCTTTTGATGAAACATGAGTATTCACAGAGTGCAAGAAATACTAGAAAGCATCACGAGTCTGCTGCATTATGCAGTTATAGGCTGACCTACCATGAACTTCTCTATTGATGCTGAATCTTTAAATTTCACATTAATTTTGGCTTTAAAATACACTGTTTTTTCTTTCAAAAATCTGAAAACATTGCACACTAACTTTTTTCAGATTTCTTTTGGTCTTCTTGAATGCAATGGCTGAAATCTGTAGGACTGGTGGAATCCAATGCAAACGAGTTGCTGTAAGTAAACATCCACTAGGTTGCTGTAACTGACCTTTGGCCCACTCTTAGTGTCTCCCAATGGTAAAGTAGAATTCACTGGTTTAAGCCATTAATCATGACTAACAGCTCTGAGGTCAGATCTTTCTTACAACAAATAAAGTACTAGTGTTGCATTTGGTGGTAACAGGTTGCAGACTAATACTACCCAAAAGGACAAAGTCACTACCTTGAATGTTTCAGAAGTCATTAGTTAAGAACATTGACTGGTTTAAGATGTTCTTGCATCATTTGCATTCCTTTTCAGGACTGAGTCATGTTCTCTTAGCAGTGCTGCTGGACTATGTTAAGATAGGTTTTTGAAGTCTGATTTTGAAGTTGTATTGGAAAGATCTCATCCATTCACCCAAGGAGGAAGAAGTTTCATAATGCCTTTAAATAGCAGTCTCTTACTATCCAAATTATGAGCAAGTAATAAGCAAGCAAAAAGTCTCACTGCACTTCAACTTTCCATGTTCCATTCTCACACAGGTTTCAGTCGTATTTTCAAACTTTACCTTTACTCAAAGTAGTATTTAAAACGTACTGTTATGTATTTTCTTAAAACAGCAGGGCTAGCTGATGGTAAATCCAGTTGCTGGAATTAAATACAGCTTTTAAAATTAATATATTTTTACTGCTACACATTATTTTAATTGCAGCAAGTTACAGAAGAACAATTTTTAAGAACAGTATTGTGGTAGTATTCACAAATCCCAGTACATAACTACACTGTGTTACACAAATACTGAAGATGCTCTCTGCCTAGAAACTTCATCTCCTTCCTCTGTTAATGAACACAATAAACACGTGAAAGATGAACGTGAAACAGACCTAAGTTTATATATCAGAGCAAAGCTACATAATGACAGCACACTGGATGCCAAAGATTAGTGTTTGTAACTTTCCTCTTGTTGCTTCTTGTAATGTATTGTCAGAATTATTGCTCCTATGGTTGCAGCTGCCAACAGAGACTCTCTCGACAATACCTAAGAATAGACATCTGAGCATCACATGAGCTTCATTTCTTCTCTACTGTGTAAGCAGCATTTGATAAAATATGTTTTCCAGAAATTTGAAACAATTGCTCTACAAAACAAAGAAGTTTCAATAGATGAAAAATGATGATCAGAGATGCACTGGCAATCAGAATGAAACAGCTGTAATTGACTGGAGGAATCAGTGACAATGTCAGTAACAATTTTTCTCCATACTAGTGTGTTTTGTGATACTGTATGTTAAAAATAACTGTAGTCCCAAAAAAGGGCTACAGCATATGGACATATCTCCATTCATTATCATCGGAGTCTTTCCACAGTGGCTCTTCTGCCTCTCCTCCAGTATGTTTCTACTTCCCAGATTCTCTTATTCAACATACCTAAAACAGGCCTGTCTCTTCCATTTTCATATCTGCACTTAACATGTAGAAAATACCTTCCCCCTATTATACCAAGAGCTTTTCATACCAATGAAGAGCTTTCTCCAGATCTTACTGAGAGGAGTTATCGGGGGTGAGGGCACTGGGGTGAAAGGGGAAGGGAAGGTGCTAAATAACTACTTCATGCAGATATAATGCTTCTTAAAATCATTATTCTTGCCTTTGAAATAAATGTTTGCCTGCAATGATTGAGTGCTACAAGAAAAAACAGTAATCACAAAAATCACTCAGTTGCCTACAGAAAAAAGTACTCTCTTTAAAGAAGAAAGCAGAAGTTAAACTAGGACAACTCAGGTTTAGCAAACTAGATTTAACAAACCAGCACTTTGTCAATCCACCCTTATAGTTCTTCCTGTGATTGCCACTCAGCCTACAGTTTCAGTGTCACCCATGACATTCTGGAGACGTACGATTAGTTAAATTGAAGTCAGATTCTAATGTAATCCTGCATCATTTACAGTCTCACATTGGACTTTCTTCCCTATCAGCCTGCAGGGGCCAGAACAGTTTCCACAAAAAAGATTTTAAAATAAGAACAGAGGGAGGCATTGTGACCTCCAGAACATAAACCAGGACATGGAAATCCAGTTCCAGCTTTGACATTAAAAATTACTGGAAGAACGCTGCTGCTGTGGGAAAAAAAAAAAAAAAAAAAGAAATCACACACAAAGAAAAACCCTGACTCCTGACTCTTGAATCTCAAAGTATTTTGGTTGCCACCCAAAACCAGAGCAAAACCTTGCATGTTCCAAACATTAATTTAACTTCTATTCTTTTTAAATTAGCATGACAGCTGTCATAACGTAAGCCCTGCAAGAAAGATGTCATCAAGAAAGAAACGGAAAAGGAAAGGTAAAAATCTTATCCTTTCACGACTCTATTTATTTGATTGATTTATGAGCTTTGCACTTTTGACACGCACCACTCACTCTCAACAGGTTTGTCAAAGTCAAATGCCAAAAAAGGCAGAGAAAGTGAAGCCACAGGGAAACTGCCTCTTCTGTTGTTGAATGTTTAAATGTATCAATTTATTACCTGAACCCACTTTTATTATTTTGTTCTATGATTTTTAAAGACAGCAGGTAGTTTAAGGCTGTATGTTACCAGATTCTGTAACTGGAACAATTGGAATACTGAATTGGAGCAGGGGGTGCTATAATCAATCATGCATTGAATTAAATAAGGTTAATTGAAAATAGTTTTCGGTAGTCTAAGAAAGATACACACACAGGTGTATTTGGATTAAGCTCCTCAGCCAGTCTAACGGTCAGTCTCGTTCCACCACTACCCACACTGCCATACCTCCACCTCAGTCCTATCCAGATAATTACCTATACACTTTTCTTCTGGATTGAATTTCTGCCAGTTTAGTGAGCTTAATTGGCCAATCCAGGAATCACGCAGGTGCAATGGAAATAGCAGGCATATGTTGCTTGGAGTGGGACTGTACCTTTCATTAGAAACTATATTTTAGACCAACTTGCCTCATCTCAAAGAACTTTTTTCTTAAGCACAGCTTTCAACTTCTTGGTTCGTATCATGTTAATTGAATTATTATTTAATTGCCATATTCTCTTCCACCAAATTTCACAGTGGAGAAATCAGAAATATGGAGAAATTAAAATAAGGAGAAAGAAATCTACCCTTTCTCTTTCCCCTTCCAGAAATACCAGAGGTTGTGTACGTATTAAAGAAAAGAAAAGAAAATTCCTTTCTTCCTTTTTGTGCTGTATTTTCATTTTAACACTGTTAAACTCACTGACGCTTTTCCAGATCAAACTCAGTGAAAAAAAGTGCATGCATATGATACTAATGCTTTGCAATTATACAAATGCAGAAAACAAAACATGCTTCTTAAGCTTCCAAAACACTTTATATCACTCTGAACGCATCCTGCTAATTTAATACCGTAAAATATTTTTTAAATATTAACTTTTCTGAAGGAAAAGACTAAAAATTTCTGAAGTTTAATTTACATAATGGCCACACACTTTATGCCAATACTGTAAAAATCCAATGCATTTATATTATTACAAAGCATTCCATTTCAGCACATTCAGGTTGGAGAAATGGGGTACAAGAATTTTGGACAGCCTTTTTTAAAGAAAATAAGCCTGACTGCCCTAACATCACAGTTTTATTTCACACGGTGGCAGTATTTTTTTCTGAGAACTCTATTGCAGTTAGCTTATCATGGCAGAAATGTTGTGAATAGGTTTGACAGACAGGAGTTTCGCAATGAGAAGGTCACAGGCTTAGTTTGGACCATCCCTTGTCTGATTAGACAGAGAGCATTTTACCACAATTGGCTCTAGTCACTAACTGATTTTCATTCCCAAATACCTGTCATCACCGTCACTGACGCATTCAGGAAGGGCAAGACTACAGCCAAACAGCATGATGTGTTGATAGCAGCTGAGACGATTGAGATAACTGAAGAACTTCAGGAACTTTTCCATTTCAATACTTTTGACAATGGAAAGAACTGAAGTTACAGTGGTGTAGTTATATGGCAGCATTTGGCACTGGCTGTTGGTGATATTTATGCAGGCACCTGTGAAATCAAAATAATATATTTAGAATAAAAGTATCACAATTTAGTAGTTGGTACAAAGCATATATTGAATTGACTAGTCAGTACATAAATATATAAACAATGCCTGTACCTCACAGATAAGACGACATTCTATAATGCAATCTTAATACTGTCAAAAAATAAGTATCTAAGGAAAAAAGAAAGCTGGAGAAGCTTGGTAGTTTAGTTGGAAAACCAAATAAACTCTTACATATTTTTGCAATCCTCTGATCCTCTACAGAACTGAACTAGAAATAACACAAAACAAATTTCTTTCTGACACAGGTTGGATGAACATACCATAACATTAGCCTGGACACAGCCAGCTTTGGCTGAAACTAAGAATGGAAGTCATACAAAAAAATAAAGGCTAAATTGGGTTCTGAAGCTGCTCTGGTTTTGGTGTTTCTGTAAAGTTTCTCTTTTGCTTTCATCCTACTTTTCAGCTGGCTTTTCTGCCAAAATAACCAACTTGCTTACCTATTTTTCGCAACGTGATGATTTTACCTCCACAGTCTTTCTTCTCTATCCCACCAACACAGAATTATCTGATTTAACAGGTTGAACACCCTGTCCTGAACTGTTGTCCCAGTCTCAACCTACCAGAGCAACCTTTCTCTGCTCATGGTCTGTCACGTGCAATAGGCTCTCTCAGCTATGCATGATGAGCATGTTAACTTACTATATAAAGTTCTTATATAAAGAGTGAGTTTCAGAAGCCATATACCAAATTCAGAATTTTAATCTCGAACAAACTACTAAAATCTGATCTTTATGACAGCTCTCTACTTTGATGAAGGCCTTTCTAGCCCATCTAGTCAGGCTCTGGCAGCATTTCTTTTCACACTCAGAGCATATCCACTTTATACAATAAGCAGGGATTTCAGACCACTCTCAAGACCAGACTCTGCCACTAATCATGCTGTAAACAAATCAAACTCATGCTAAACGAACATCTCAACTCTAGCCTTCTCAATGGGGAAAACTCTTGAGTACATTCAAGCCTTAGCACTCCTGTTCTCATTATCTGAGCAAACTGGACATAGGCAGCACCAAATGGGGTAGATTCTTTCCATCATCAGATATTTTGGGACCCGTTTCTTCCAAGAATCATGTGGTTCATTTACACTTGACCTCCCAAACTGATAAAAGCTGGGGATGTAAAGCACATGGGATGCAGCTCTAAGGGTTCAGCAAGTCTGTCTCTTCCTTACCTTTCAGTCTAGACACAGTCTTCACTGTCTAAATGCACTAGTGGCAAATTCTGGTATCTATGGACTAATACAACCTCACATAAGAGCAGGGAAAGCAAAGCGTAATGAAGAAAAATTTCATTAGAGCTTTTTCAAGTTGCAATGTCTTCGAAGGGATGGACAAAAAAAAGTGGGTTTCGAATTTTATCTAGACTTGACAAAAAACAATTCCTATTTTCTCAGTGCCTGATGAATATTCTCAGAGTTATCCCCTTTGTCTTCTCCCTCTCCAGAAACATCAACAAAAACTAAGGAATTGAATCTTATCTCACTGAAATAACAGCAAGTCTCTGTCTTCATTCTAATCAAGCTAATACCATGCCCACAAGTCCCCATGTTAAGATTCACTCCCCTCCCAGTACTGCCAACAAGAAATATTAGCACCAAGATGCACCCACTTTCTGCTACAATCCCTTCTCACTCTCACAGTACAGTGACTAACGCATCTGTTTATCCAGGAAGCACACTTTTCCATATGATTAAGGGACAGATTCTCCATTCAGAATTAAAAGTAAATTCTGGGAGATCAGCAAAAAAGTGGTGAGCTTTCAAAACTGTAGAGTCCACTTTTCAGAAGTGACTATATGAGTTAGTATCACATGCCAGTGATTTTCAGTGCAACTTCTGCTCTGAAGTTGTACAAGTGTTTTTGAAAAACAGCACCAGGATGATCATCAAATCTACCTGTTAGGCTGTGAGACCAAAATCTGGTGACACTAAAGTAGCTTTCCAGGGGAAAGGGAAAAAAAGTGGAGGGAAGGGAAGGAAATTCACTGCAGGGTCACAAATTTTTCTTTTAAAAGATGCCATCTCTTTAATGACTACTCACTTTGTGAGTTTTGCACAACACCTTGACCTGTAATAAAAATGTAAAATCTCCCTCCATTTTTTGTATTATATTTTGTACTTGAACAAACTCATAGCCATTTATTTAAAAGGCAACGGGTTTTTTAAACATTTTTATTGCTTGTGAAAGCTTAACAAGAAAACATAAAAATTCTGATTTAAAATCTTGAAGCTTTTACAGCAGAAATTCTTTAAACTGCTAACCTCCCCACAGTTATCTCTTACTTTCTTATATTCTTTTGCTGATGCTGGGACTACAATTTCAGTAACTGGTGATAAGAGGATAACATACCCATGCAAAATTCTGGGTCTCCCCTACCCACAGAACTTTCACACTGAAGCTACATAAATAAATCAAATTATCCTAAACTGGGAGGGAGGGCGGAGGGAGCAGGGGCCATACAGGGCTTATACAAGTGGAATTTCAACAAAATTATTCACAAAATCATCATGTATCTCCTGAGGCACAATTGCAAAATAGTTCCTGCCATGGCATGTGCCAAGAAGCAGTGACATTTTGGCTGAGAAAATGTGCATGGGCTGCTTTAGACCTTTTAAATTCACACAGTGCTGACAGAGAAGGGCTACAGTACAGCTATCTGATCTTTCAGGAGTGAGTACTCAGTGGCTGGACAACACAGCACTGAATTCAACATTCATGGCCAAGAATCTGGTATTTTACAGCAATTATACAAGAATTTTTAAAACAAAGAGACGGAAGGACTAAACCCAGGATTTGTCCTTGCAACAGAATCATGATCCATCTTCAATTCCATGAATCTTGCATTCCTGTAAAACGACATCAGTTCAGTATTAATCCCAGGCACATCCATGTCCTGGAACACTCTTCTGGAGAGCAAGTGCCTGCGTTAGAACCTCATCTTTTTAACACGGGTCCTCAATTTACCTTTTCTATTTTTCGTTCCATCATTCACCCAGTAAGCAAATTACAGCACAGCAGGTGAGTGTCCCATACCCTCCACACCTCCAAGTCAAAAAGCATAATTTCAGGGTAATAGCAATTGTTATATCACAGTGCTATATACATCCCAGATTCTCACTGCAGTAGTTAACAAGTTCTATAGTCTCAAAAACCTTCTTCAGTAAATTAAGGAAAGCTACATTGTGTTCATACACTTTTAGTTCTGCACAGGACTAACGAGCTTAGAAATAGCACCCCACTGGCTCACACCAAATAGAGGTGCAGAGCACAGAAGCATCAGCCCTCTCCATGCCAGCTCACAGACCCCGAACCCAGCAGCAGGCAGACATACCCTTATTGCTTCACAAGAGACCTCTCAAGTTCCACACAACTGCCCAAGTTGGTCATACTTTGAGTAACAAGTTATTTCAGAGTAAGGTTGTTTAACCTACACTGAGACCAGAAGAAAATGCAAAGATTCTCTAGTCTGATCATTTGCAGAAAACGAGTCCCTGCATTAATTCTTGCACCATGACCAATAGCTTGTGATAGACAGAACATATCTGTGAGACAGGCAAGTCTGCTCAGTGCCAAATTGCTCAGTATGTAGGCAAACAGTGACACAGACACAGCATTCTGCAGAGCAAGGAATAATTTATTTTAAAGGGCATTAAAAGTAGCAGAAATGCTATTTAAATTACAAGCAAAAGGGATTGCTTATTTAATGAGGAGTAGGTATTTAAATAAAAAGATTAAAGAGATAAGGTAAAAATATATTTTAGTAACAATAAGTTGTGTGTTTTTTTCAAATAAACAGAAAATCTGAATAATTACACTGACGAACAGCCACAAATATAAGAAACAAATGCAGTAAACCTTAAAATGCATAACTAATCTATCAAATTGTTAAACTTCACTCCATATGTACAGGCTAAATGCATTTTATAAACTATGTGGCCCTGCAGTGCCATAATGCTAATCTGACTGATGGTATAACACACTAGTACTAACTATGTTACAAACCAGCAGAAAATAGACCAGAGAAGAAGAAAAACACTGAATATACATAGAAAAGTCTCAACCTATTTCCTTCTTTTCTCCAGTAAAGATTCATTAATTACGGGGAATACAAGACACATAAACTAGCTTTGGCAATATTGGGGCGGGGGGGAAGAGTGGGAATAACAACGTGTGAAAAAGCAGTTGGTCAGAACTGCATGTTTCCTGATTATATGGGTCATTTCTGATATTCATCTAAATTAAGGGGTTTCTGTTTATCACTGGCTATTTTCAGACAGACTGAACCAGTAAAAAAGAGCTTCCTTTTACTCCAACAATTGCAATGCAAGTCTACAGCTTCATATTTGGCGCTGCTGAAACTAATTTAAACAACATATTTTTATTTTCCCTCTCTCCTCTTCAGATTGTTCCCAGATTGCACTACCTATGGACTGCATCCACACAAAGTGAACTGGACTAGAGGACTGAGCTGACTGAAAATAACCACCTATGTTCTTTCTCGAAAGCCAATGTTTATGGCAGCCCTAAAGAAACTCAACCAGAACTGCAGTTTAAGCTTGTTTAACTATCTTAGTCTTAAAACGCTCAACTATCCCTGTAATGGTAAGGTCACGATTCCCTATCCAACAGTCATCGTCACTTCTGGATGTTTTTGAGGCCATGCAATGAACTGGCTCTGGACATTAGCCTGCACGAAGAAAACAGCCTTCCCTCTTTTCTCCTGCTGCACTTTTAACTTTTTTTGTGGGCACAGGGTGCAGGAGAGGAAGAGGGAAAAAAATAACTATTTCACTTGGATCAGATCATTAGGTTGAATAGCTTTTTGGCAGCAAAAACATTTGTTCCAGGACAAGAGAAGAGGCAGTGCAGAGGCAGGAACCAGTGGGTATGATCAGAGCCTGCTCACAGCAGTTGAAGCAGTGCTTTTGCAGAATGCG